TGGTCTGTAGTCTCCAAATATTTGTTATCTTTCCAAATTTTTTCTTCTGGTTGATTTCATGTTTCATAGCATTGTGGTCTGAAAATATGCATGGTATGATCTCAATCTTTTTGTACTTGTTGAGGGCTGATTTGTGTCCTAGTATGTGATCTCTTCTGGAGAATATTCCATGTGCACTGCAGAAGAATGTGTATTCTGCTGCTTTAGGATGAAATGTTCTGAATATATCTGTTAAGTGCATCCGGTCCTGTGTGTCATTCAAAGCCATTGTTTTCTTGTTGACTTTTTGTTTAGATGATCTGTCCGTCCATTTCTGTAAGTGGGGTATTGAAGTCCCCTACTGTTATGGTATTATTATCAACGCATTTATTTATGTTTGTGATTAATTGATTTATATATTTGGGTGCCACCACATTTGGAGCATAAATGTTTACAATTGTTGGGTCTTCTTGGCGGATAGACCCCTTAATTATGATATAATGCCCTTTTTCATCTCTTGTTACAGTCTTTATTTTAAAATCTAGGTTTCTGATACAAGTGTGGGTACTACGGCTTTCTTTTGTTGACCATTAGCATGATAGATGGTTCTCCATCCCCTTACTTTCAATCTGAAGTTGCCTTTAGGTCTAAAGTGGGTGTCTTGTACACAGCGTATAGATGGAACTTGTTTTCTTATCCATTCTGTTACCCTGTGTCTTTTGATTGGAGCATTTAGTCCATTGACGTTTAGAGTGAGTACTGAAAGATATGAATTTATTGCCATTATGTTGCCTATAGAGTTGGAGTTTCTGGTGGTGTTCTCTGGTCTTTTCTAATCTGTTTTGCTTTTGGACTGTGGTTTTTTTGTTTTGTTTTGTTTTGTTGTTTTTATTTTTGTTTTTTCTGTCTTTTCTCCCCTCAGAGAGTCCCCCTTAAAATTTCTTGCAGGGCTGGTTTAGTGGTCACAAACTCCTTTAATTTTTGTTTGTCTAGGAAACTTTTCATCTCTCCTTCTATTTTGAATGACAGCCTTGCTGGATAAAGAATTCTTGGCTGAATATTTTTCCAATTCAGCACATTGAATATATCCTGCCACTCCTTTCTGGCCTGCCAAGTTTCTGTGGATAGGTCTGCTGCAAACCTGATCTGTCTTCCCTTGTAGGTTAAGGACTTTTTTTCCCTTGCTACTTTCATGATTCTTTCCTTGCCTCAGTGTTTTGTGAATTTGATTATGATATGCCTTGTTGATGGTTGGTTTTTGTTGAATCTAATGGGAGTCCTCTTTGCTTCCTGGATTTTGATATCTGGTTAGATAAGTTTTCCACTTTGATTTGCTGACATAAGTTTTCTACCCCTTTTCCCCCTCTTCTCATTTTCTGGGACCTCTATGATTCTGATATTATTCCTTTTTGATGAGTCACTGAGTTCTCTAATTTCTATATCATGCTCTTTTGCCTTAGTCTCCCTCTTTTTTTCTGCCTCATTTTCTCCCTAGTTTCCTCTGTATTGCTGATTTGCTGCTCTGCCTGATCCATCCTTGCCCCTGTGGTATCCATTTGAGATTGAAGCTCATTTATAGCATTTTTTATTTCATCCTGAGTAGCTTTACTTCTTTTATCTCTGCAGAAAGGGATTCTAATCTTATCTCAACCCTAGCTAGTATTCTTATTATTGTGACTCTAAATTCTGGTTCAGACATCTTGTTCATATCTGTATTCATTACGTCCCTGGCTATCATTTCTTCCTTTTCTTTGTTTTGTGGTAAATTCCTTTGTTTTGTCATTTTGAAGGGAAAAAAAAGGAATTAATAAAGTAAAAAAGAAAAAAAAAACCCTTAAAATTAAAAAATTAAAAACGTTCAAAGAAATCAAATAAAGGATGCTAGATCCTCAGTGTCTTTTGGTCTGGTTTTTGAAACAAGCTGGACAGATTAGAGAAAAAAGGGAAAGATAAGAAAAGATAACAAAGACAAAAGAAAAAGAAAGGAAAAAGGAAAACGTTTGAAAATTTGAAAAATGAATACAATAAAATAAATGATGAAAGTAAAATAGAATTTTAAAAATTTATGAAAAAGTAAAAAATATAGTAGAAAAAAATGAAAGAAAAATCTTTTTAATCATAATGGAAAATAAAAATAAATTCTTTCTTTCTGTATTCAAAAATGAGAAAAGAGAAAAAAATTGAATAAAAGGACCAGCAAACAGAATTAAGAATGATACAACTGGTTTCCCGTAGAAGTCAAGCTATGAAGCAGTTTATAGTCTGTAAACTAAGCAGGTTGAGAGTCTTGTGTTTGTCAAGAGCACTGTTGGCCCATTTGGGCGGGGTTTAGTATAATGGCTCAGTTCTCCACTAGATGGTGCTGCTTAGCTTACTGGGGTGGATTGCTGTGGTGTGTTTAGGCATGTATGTGCATGCATGGGAGGGGTGAAAATGGTGTCACCCTGCTACCCAGTCTCTAGTATCAGAACTCTGTGCTCTCCACAACTGGCAGTCAAGCACCCCTCCTTAGTCTCCGGCTTGTGTCCCCTCCCCACTTCTGCACTGTCTGTGACTAAGCTGTCAGGCTGCCAGGTAGCACCTCCATCCTGAGTTTTATCTCAGATGTGGCTGTGTTTCCCAACACCTCACTTCTGAGGGACTGTGGCTTTGACCCACTCAGATCCTCTGGCGGAGGGTCTCGCTGAGCAATGGCTGGGTGTGGACCACCCCCAGGAATGTTTGCAAGACTGTGCTGCTGCTGATGCCCAGAGACTGCCCCTGGGTGCCAGCCCGCCTCAGAAAATGTTTGCATGATCTTTTAGCAGCAGTGTTTCAGGGTTTATGGAAAATCACAACACACATCTGGCTCCAGGCTTCGCTCTTAACATCCTTGTTCCAACACCAGTGAATGTGGTTGTTGTCCGGGGTCTGCTGGTACCTTTGCCTGTGGGGTGGTTGCACAGCCTCTACCAAATGTCCCCAGCAGGGGAACTGCCACTCCCCATGTGTCCCATGGACCCCTTGGACCTTGGTCTCCACTCTTGGGGATTCATCCTTCCCACCAGAACACTGCCAGGTATTGAGCTGCAGAGTTTCAGACTGTGCTCCCCTTCTTTATTGAGTCTTAATGGAATTTAAACCCTCTACTTTCTCCTTTCTCCCTTTTTTGTTCAGTCCCTGTGGCTGTTTCCACTTTTCCACTTTCTCTCCAGCTCCTTTTGGTGGGGGGTGCTTTTCCCATACTCTCCCCCCCCACCCCCCCCGTCTCTGTCCTCTCTCTGCACAGAGCTCCCTGCCCTCTGTGGCTTCTCTCCTCTGATTCACCTCTCCGTGCTGTGTACCTGCCTAGTTCTGTGGTTCAAGTTGTGCAAATTGTTGTGTTAATCCTCAGGTCAGTTTTCTAGGTGTGTAAGATGGTTTAGTGTTGATCTGGCTACATTTCATGGAGTAGAGACGCAAAAGATCTTCCATGTTGTTCTGCCATCTTGGCATGATGGATTAGATTTTAAAACATTTCTTTTATGAAAACAAAATACTAATTTGCGTGGAAGATTTTTGCCCTCAATACGTGTTCTTAATATATGTCATACTGACAAAAATGGGTTATCTTTGGGAGTGAGTGTACTGTCAATGTTATACATGGAGAGAGAGGGTGGGCATTCTCTTCTGGGCTTCTCTAATACTATATTTTATGAGCTTTTTTAAAAGTAATGAGTATACTATTCTTTTATTAAAATACTGATAGAAATTTTTTTTCATTCCTATGCCTTTTTCTTTGTTTCTTGCTACTTTTTTTTGCTTTTTTTAAGTTTTTAATTCCAGTTTACATACAGTGTTATATTGGTTTCAAGTGTATAAATACAGTGATTCAACACTTCGATACAACACCTGGTGCTCATCACAAGTGCATTCCTTCATCCCCATCACCTGTTTAACCCATCCCTCCACTTTCTCCCCTCTAGTATGAGTGTATCTTGTATAATTAAGAATCTGTTTCTTGTTTTGTGTCAAGTTTTTTCCTTTGCTTGTTTGTTTTGTTTCTTTTTTTTTTCTTCAGTGTTTATTTATTTTGAGGGATCACAAGTGAGAGACGGGCAGAGAGAGAATCCTAAGCAGGCTCCACGCTGTCAGCACAGAGCTTGACCTGGGGCTTGAACCCACAAACTGTGAGGTCGTGACCTGAGTCAAAATCAAGAGTTGGACAGTTAACTGACTGAGCCACCCAGGCGCCCCTGTTTTGTTTCTTAAATTCCACATATGAGTGAAATCATATGGTATTCATCTTCCTCTGACTGACTTACTACACTTAGCATTATGTCTTCAAGTTCCATCCATGTAATTGCAAATTGCAAGATTTCATTCTTTTTCATGACAGAATAATGTTTCTTTGTATATATATGCCACATCTTCTTTATCCATTCATCAATTGATGGACACATGAGCTGCTTCCATATTTTGGCTATTGTAAATAATGCTGCTGTAAACACAGGGGTGCAAATATCCTTTCGAATTCATGCTCTTGTATCTTTTGGGTAAATACCCAATGGTGCATTGCTGGATCATAAAGTAGTTCTATTTGTAACTTTCTGAGGAGTCTCCATACTGTTTCTCACTGTGACACCAGTTTGCAGTCCCACTAACGGGGTGCCAGTGTTCCTTGTTCTCCACATCTTCACCAACACCTGTTGTTTCTTATGTTTTTGATTTTAGCCATTCTGACAGGTGTGAAGTGATATCTTGTTGTTTTGACTTGTATTTCCCTGATGATAAGTGACGATAGGCATCTTTTCATGTTCTGTTGGCTATCTGGATGTCTTCTTTGGAAAAATCTCTCTTCATGTCTTCTGCCCATTTTTTTAATTGGTTTATTTGTTTTTTGGATGTTGAGTTTTTATATTTTGGATACCAGTCCTTGATCAGATATATCATGTGCAAATAATGGTAGAAAATGCCTTTAAAATGTAATGACATAAAGATAAATTTTTAAAAATGTTCTCATAACTAAGTTCATTTTTTTCTGTCATTAATTCTTGTTCTAGGCTTGTGTGGACGTCAGAGCCAGTTCAGTGTTTTGGCAGCAGATGGAATTTGCAGATAGCCTCCAGGGTCATCCCAAGTTGCCAGAATGGTTATCCACACACCCTTCTCATGGAAATCGAGCTGAGCACTTGGATAGACTCATACCTCAGGTGAGCTAAGACTGTATAAGGCAAGACTTTATTTTTACTGTATCACTTATTTTTAACGTTGTTACTTCTTATGTTTAGAAAAAGAGAGTTCTAGTCTAGCCTATCAATTATTTTGATTACTGTAATCATGGGTTATCAGTTTTCAAAAGACTTGACTGAAAAGTGAAACCCTGTTTGTCCACAAGTCTTGGGGAATAAATTGGAGTAGAGTTGACTTTTCTTGTTGGTGGATGGTTTAACCTTTTTAGTATCATACCTTTTAAACTTAACTGATTTGGCTAAAGTCTAAAACTCAAGGCATATTTTTTTTCAACATATTGATCCTAATTTAGTATCTTCTTGGTGATTTAACCTTTGTTAAAAAGCTTGTTAAAAATACCCATTAATGACTTGTACAAAATTTTTAGGTCAGTTATCTTGATATTGATGCTAGAATTTGTTTTCTTAGAAAAAAAAATCTCTTTGTATTAGTTTCTTTTTAGTTATTTGTTTATAAAGGTAAAGTATGTGCTGTGTAGTGTTTTGGTTTTTTTGTTTGTTTGTTTTTGGGTAGAACTCCTGAATGGATCAAGTTGAAGCAGCTTTCCCTCAAGTAGTTTTTACTATCTTCTGAAAATCTTTTGACTTAACATCATTCAAAATGTGTTCTTTAGTTATCACATCAGTGCAGAATGCATGTCAGACATCTCTAAGCCAGGCTACATCTCTTTTCTGTTTCACTTGCATTAAATTTGCTGGTTGGTTGTAAAAGCGGAATATTCTTTAGAATTTAAGAATTGGTATTGGGCTATTTGCTAAAGGATAACAACAGATTCAGGTGTATTATAAAAGTATCTTTCAGTATAACTTCAAATTCAACTTAAGAAATATTGAGTACATATTATAAGAAAGAAATGATGCTAGTAGGTACAGGGGATACAATAGAAGTAAGATATGGTTCTTGATACTTTCATGCTAAGTACAAATTGATTCTTAATACAACAGGGAATATGACCTCTCATAAGAAAAGTTGAAATGTAGTGGTATGCAATTTGAAGGAATAGTAGCCTGCATCTAGTTTAAGATAAGAAACAATCACAAGATTCATTCGTTAATTTATGTGATCAGTATTTGTTGATACTCATTACTAATCTCCTATTCTGTGTTCTATTGCTGGGAATGAGCAAGGACAAAACAAAACAGGCTTTGCTTTCTTGGAGCTAGCATTTTACTTAGGTAATGCAAATAATAAACAAACATATGTGTGGTATGTCAAGTGGTGATAAGCACGATGGGAAATACAAAGCATGTCAAAGGTAATAGGGCTGGGCAGTGGAGAAAGTCTGCTAGTTTCTGTTCATGTGTTAAGAAGGGCCTCACTGAATAGAACCTGGAAAGAAGCCAGGGAGCCAATCTTATGTATATTTGGAGGGAGTCTTTTAAGCTGAGGAAGCAGCAAGTGCACAGGACCTAAAGTGAGAGCATGTTGGGTGTGTTCATGGAATAGCAAGGAAGACATTGGGGCTGAATGGAGTAAGGAAAGGTGGGAGAATGCTTGAAACTTAAGGGGAACAGACGATGGAAGGTCATCTAAATCACTGTAAGGACTTGACTTTTATGTCAAGTGATGGGGGAAAGCTAGTAGAGGGTTTTCAGCAGAGTTGACCTGACTCCTGTGTTTTACAGTGATCACTGGGGCTCCTGTGTGGAGAGTGGACTGTAGTGGGGCAAGGGCAGAATCAGAGAGACCAGTGGGCTCTTGCAATAATCCTAGTAAGACGTTATGGAGGTGGAAGAGAGAAAGAGAAGTGGTGAGATTTTGGATATATCTTGGAAGGAATAATGAGAGAATTTGTTGACAGTTTGGGCATACTTTGTACCTTTCATGAGTACTGGGGGATAGCCAGACCTTTCTAAATATACTTCGTTTATACTCCTAATTTGAAGGAAAAATTTTGAGAAAGAAACATAAGTGAAATTTACTTAATATAATGTATAATAATCCTTCATCTTAAAATAGGGCAACATAGAACTGGTATCGTATGTGTTTCATTAGTAATTTATGAGTGCTGAAGGTCACTGGCTCTGAGAATCTTCTTGGTCCTCCCTGAGACCCGGGACCTTGTACCACCTTGGGAGGTTTAGCCTGTCTCTAAAGTCATAATAACCACATGGTTTTCTTTCAGAATTTCTTTTCTTTGCATATTTGCTCAGTGAAATTCTAAAAGTATATGGTTTGCGTAAAGTGAATAATGACTTCTAGCCAACTTTCATCTGAAGCCTGTCCTAAAGTCTGTAAGAAATATGCGTTAGAGAAGTCTTTAAAATAATAATGAATTGATTAGTAAGTATGAGGAAAAGTGATTGGAGAAGCAAATGTTATTTGGCAACCAATGATGAAAAACACTGGGAGATTTTTTTCTTCTAAAAATAAACTATCCTAGTTTAGAAACTTAATTTGAAAACCTCATATAATTTCTTATATTTTCCCCCCAAGTGATTAAATTCAATTTGAAAGTAATAAAACTCTACTACAATATTGGGAATAATTCAGTGGTTGAAGTGAAACTGATAGTACAAGAGTATATTGTTAATTAGAATACATAGTCATAATTCAGAGATTGGAATTCCCTAACATTGTAAGTCTAATTTCTGTAATGAAAGAAAGCAGTTCCTCAGGCAGTATATAGAATTATGTGAATCTATAGACTACTACTAATAAAGACTATTTTTTGTTGTCGTTGGTTTTTTGTTTTTTGTTGTTTTTTTGTTTTGTTTTGTTTTTTACTTAAGTGAGTGCAGTGTTGTATTCTATCTAAAGCTTCTGTCTTTGACATTGCTGACAGTAACCCTGAAGTGATACACATCTCAAAGATAGTTGGGAATACCGCGCCATAGGACAGAGAAATCTAGGCAAGAGATGAGGATTTCAGAGCTACTTGAAAATGTTATAGTTGAAGCAGAATGGATGAGTTCACTTAGGAAGTAAGCAGAGAAAAAGATGCTGGACAGAGTTAACTGTATAAGGTAGTTTCCCTATGTAATTAGTAGGATAAAGATTGAGCTTCTGGTAAATCAGATTTATAAGAGGAGAAAAGATCAGGAAAATCAGGAAAGTAAGATGATTTGGTTCTGTGAGAACCCAAATCTTGATAATTTTTATTTTCTAAAAAAATTTAGCTTATTAAAGATTATATATTTCTTATTGGATTCCTTGAATATCATCAAAGAAATGTATTATTTTCTACCATAGCATATCAACATTTATTTTAAAATCTGTATTTTGTGCATTCAACAAATATTTATTGATTACATGTTATGTCAGACTATAGATGTTATGAACATAATAGACAAAAAACCTTGCCCTAATGAAGCTTATTATGCAGTAAAGGGAGACAGACAATAAATAGCATTAATTAGTAATGTATAGAATAAATTACTGATACATTGCATATTAGTAATGACTGTTGATGAGGAAAATACAAGAAGAACAAAGTATTAGCTTGGGCTGCCACAACCAGAGATTGGGTGGCTTAAGCAACAGAAATTAATTTCTTCACAGTTCTGAAGGCTAGAAGACCAAGATCAAGGTTCTGGCTTAAGCAACAGCAATTAATTTTTTCATAATTCTGAAGGCCAGAAATCCAATAATTTTCTTGCAGATTCAGTTTCTGGTAAGGTCTTTCTGGTTTGCAGATGGCTGCCTTCTAGAACATTGTGTCCTTACGTGGGGGGAGATAGCGTGTTGATGTCTCTTTCTTTTCTTGTAAGGGCATGTTAATCCCTTCATGAGGGCTCCCCCCTCATGACCTCATCTAAACTTAATTACCTCCCAAAACCCCATCTCTAAATACTGTCATAACATTAGAGGTTAGGGGTTCAACGTAAGAATTTGGGACAGGGGGAACAATTCAGTCCATAGCAGATAGATAACGTGTGAGCACAGGTGGTAGAGGTGTTGGAATAGCTCTTTGAAATGGGGCCAGTCCGAGAAGGTTTCACTGAGAAGATGGTATTTGAATGAAGAATTGAAATAAATGAAAGAATGAGCCATGTGGCTTCCTAGGACAACAGCTTTCCAGGCAGAAGAAATAGTAAGTACAAGGCCCTAGGGCAGGAGTGAGCCTGGTGTATATGAGAGACTACAGGGAAACCAGTGTGGCTGGATGGGGAAGCAAGGGAGAACGTGGGATTTGTAGTCAACGTAAGGACTTTGGATTTTGCTCACAGATGGGCCACCAGTGGAAAATTTTGAGCAGGGGACTAGAAGAGTAATAGGATTGACTTATGTTTGGAAAGAATGTGATCTATAGCTCCTACAAAGCACTAAAGTCGTATAATTTTGAAGTACTTTAGTATATTGTTTAGAAAATAGACTAGTTATTTGTTTTGTTGTTTTGCTTTTAAATCAAGAAAATGCCCCCAAGTTAGAAAAAACATATACCCTTGCTATTCTTTTAATGTGTACAAAGCATGTAGAAATGCCTATTAAATATAATTCACTAGCATTTAAAAAGGATAAGTATAGGGTTATAGTATTAATAATATTTGTAGTTAATAAGATGATATGCTATAATTTTATTTACTTGAAATAATCAGTTAAATTTAGGAAACAAATACTCCACGTATTTTGGTTACCATAACAACTTAGGTGAAAAATTGAAGAACAGATGTTACATCAACCTGTTGATGTTTAGTGGTATGACAGTTTTAAAATTCTACTTACACTGTTCAGATTTTAAATTTATGTATAACATAAGTTGTCCTTGAAAGAGATAACGTTATTTAACTTTCTTCCTATAAAGACTGTTATAAAATATGGATGAATAGATGTGAATAAGGGAAATTGTAAGATAACCCAGGGTAGAAATTTACCTGATAGATTTATTTTATAACCAAAAGCATTTAGACTGAATTTTTTATTTTCTGTTTCTCTCACCATCTTACTCTCTGCCATCCTTTTCTTGGTTAGGGGGAAGAGGTGGAGAATGACAGAATATAAAGGAAAAACATTTCAATGG